AAAAAAATGACAGTGCTCATATTTGACACTTGTGCATTGGACTCTCTTTTGAATGAATAAAGAGGAAAGGGTTTGATGTGATTCCTCATGGAGTGTGTGATGTTTTTCATGCCACARTCTGTGAATTGTAATTGTGGTTTCTCAGTTCACTGTGGTATTTGGGCAGAAATTTAAAAAAAAAAATACAAAAAAAAAAACTCAATAAAAATACAAAGAAATGGTTAMGCAATGATATTCCCAGAGTTTAGTTATTTCTGATTTTGTTTTTAATTTTATCGGTTAAGGAGTAGCTATTTTATATGTTGGGTTCTTAAATTTGAGCCRTGGGGGTTGGCAGCTATCTTCTATCTGGGGACTGAATCCCTGAGGGGATGACTCAGTCCCTGTTCTAAAACTCTGAGTCTGGAACACTGGCTGTCTCCTGGGGCTGGAGGTGGAACCCAGGGCCTCAGACATACTAGGCCAGCATGCTGTCTGAGCTTGACCCCTGTCCCCGACACCGGCACTGCCTCTAAACCAGATCCTCTTTTCAGTGAGCCATTATATTTATAAATCAAAGCTGATGAATTTATGATAGGTCTGGAAGTTCCCTTTCCCTGATCTGCCTTTCAGGGGCTCTTAGCAGGAGTTCTGCCACAGCCTTGTAAGTCCTGCCCTGGGGCCTCTGGCAGGGAGAGAGGAGGCCTCCAGGRGGCCAGACTGATGCTCCATTCCTGCTGTTATTTTTCAAAAGCACAGATAGCAGGTATGGAGATAAAAACAATGTGGCTGTTTCTTACAGAGACACAGCTTCTGGGGAGAGGACCAGACCAGACAAGCCCTGACCTGAGATGCTAAGATGTTGGGTACAAGGAAAGAAGGGACCCCCTTGGACCAGGAGGGCCTTGTCACATGGTTTCTGAAAAAAAAAAAGTGAGGCCACCCGGGGTGCCCTGAATTCAAACAATCCTCTCCCTGTGGAAAAGTGGAAACCATTTGGTAAAATCTCCAAAGGGTAGTGTAACGGGAAGTGTGACCCCTGTGGAGCGGCTCCCCTCACAGCTAATGCTCAGTGCCACTGCTGTCCCCTCCTGTTGGGAGAGAGCACAGTTGGAGCATACATCATCCATTTGGTCCTCTTTTTTTTTTTTTTTTTTTTTTTTTTAATCGGGAAGTTTTTTAAGTTTTTTAAACTTGCTGAGCAGGTCACACAAAAAAAGCAGGTATCAGTGTTGATAATGAGAAGTACATTATTTATCACATACATTGTTCCCTCCCCAGGCTATTTCCTCCAACTGGTGAGTTTTTTGAAGTAGGTCCCACGTTTAGTGAACTACGTTTAGTGAATGTAGCCCACCTAACACACAGAAATTGCTTGTCTGCTGATTCTCACTGCACAGGGCTACTTTGCACATGACTGCTATAGTGGGACAGGAAGTGAAGAAAGTCATYGCCTGGTGGGACTTGCACCTGCATTGCAAAGGAAGGCCTATGGCACGGTGGGATTGGAGGGCTTTGAGAGCAGGTGACCTTTGGAAGTTATCTGGGTTGAGCAGCAGGAGAAAATTCACCCATGCAGAACCTGATTTGAATATTTATAAGTTCCTTCAGGAAAGAAGTGCTTTTTTATGCAAAAAAAAAAAATGTTTTTGAATAAAATAAATGTCATTCTAAACACTGATCTTGGGCCCCAGGGGTGTAAATCAGTGGTAGTGCTCCTGCCAAGCATGCTTGAGAGCCTGGATTCAATCCCCAGCACCACAAAAATTAAAAACAAAATTACTTCATTTATTTTGGTACTGGAGCTATCAGCCCTTAAAAAAAAAAAAAAAAAGATACTTCAAAATGTCTTAGAAGAATGTTATGTGAATAAGTGAAGTGCAGGCAAAACACAAATGCAGAGAAATTGTGAAGGTGTGTACAGATTGAGAAACTGAAATTGTGATGTGTGGGTAACATACTGGGAAGACAGAGTTTGAGATCGTTAAGAAATTTGTCCTCCACCCCCACCTGGGTTTAATGCAATCCACAGACAGAACAGGTGATTTGCCTAAGAATGTCTGAAGGACCACAAAAGCTTTTTAAATTGCTGACAGAAAAATTTATTGGAGGATTATAGAGACATAATAAAATTATTTCTTAAATTTGAAATTTAAAAGTATCATTTTATAATGTTGTTTCAATGCAGTCCAAGATTTTTCAGATACATACGACTCAAAAATTGGGGAAAATTTTATTTGTAGAAACTTCAACGTTTTTTAGGAGACCCTTATCCATGTCCTCAGTGACTACTTCCTCTACCCATGCCCTGTCTGCCTATGGTTTCCACCCAATAGTCCCTTTGAATTATTAACTCAATGAAATGGGTTAATTCACGAATGAGGTTATAGCAGTTGTAATCTAGTAATTTCACCTCTGAAATTACTAGAATTTCACCTAACACATGAGCTTTTGGGGGACATTAAAGATCCAAACCATAACATCTCATGGGTGGATTAATCCATTTGGTGGGTTGATAACTTGTGTGGACAACTGGTTGGTAGCTGTAGGCAGGTGGGACATGGCTGGAGAAATAGGTGACCAGTAGCATGCCCTCGGGAACTATATCTTGTCTCTGGCCTGCCTCTTTCTCCCTCCCCTCCACCACCCCCCACCCCCTCACCCCCATACCACCCCCCACACCACCCCTGCTTTCCTTCACCAAACCTTCTACCATGATGTTCAGCTATATCTCAGACCCAGAGCAATGGAGTCGGTGACCATGAATTGAAAGGTCTGAAACCATGAGCCAAAATAAATAATTCCTCCTTGGTAGTTTCAGGTATT